AAAAAAAAAAAAAAAAAAAAAAGGGAGGAAGAAAGAAAGAAAAAAAAGGAAAGCTCACTTTTATATGAATCTGCTTTTAAAGATTAAAGTATTCGTATATTCGTACGTATATACGAGGAATTAAATTTGATGGAAGAAAGAGAAGAGAGAAAAATAGATTTGTTGATATTACGACTTGTTTATGTAGGTTAATTCTAGTGGAAAAGGAGAGCAATGGTCAGACGCGCGGGAAAATAGGCAGAGTTTAAATGCAGAATTGGCCCGTTCCAAAAAAACGCGATACAAATTACAATGTCGTGATCTAGTCCGGGCGCAAATAAATCTTTCAAGGATAGAGAGAACGATTTTGGTAACGGTCCAATTTCGAGCGAGCCGCGGCGGTGTCTCGAAAAAAAGCGCCACGGTCCGACGATCTTCTCTACTCATTGTTGCTCGTTCGAAACGAAGCTCAAGCCGGCCGCGCGTGAACGGCCGATGCAACTGATCGCTGCTTTATTTATAGAAACGCCACCACGCGAGAACGAGCCTAAACATAACCTAAACGTTTCTCGCTTAAAAAGAAAATACTCGTTTAAATCGTTCGTGAAAAGTGTATTTTTCCATTTTTTTCAAGATTAATCTTCGTAATCTTCGTAATTCGATAATTCGAAAACGTTCAAATCTCTAAACAATTTTTAATAATCACGTTTCAAACTCTCCAATCGAAAGATTTCGAACTTTTAGAACGAATCTGCCCGAACGGAAATCTCTCAATTTGGAAATTCGAAACACGAGGAAAGGTTTTTCTTTTAAGTGAAACCGCGCCACGAAACCTGAATCGCACGATGTTGATAAACCTTCCGATCTTGCAGTGGGGTACGACCTGGGTGGCGTTTCCACGTGCAGCAAGAGGGACCCGGAGCACGGGAAGAGGCCGACAGGTGGGAAGGAACCGCACTGCCTATATCCGGGTGACCTCTACCCGTTCACGAGGAAACCTCTGTTCGTGGTCGTCGACTCGGACAACAGCTTCGTATTCCAGCAGATACCCCGTTACTTCGGCCAACCGTTGATGGTGCTGATGTCGCCTCAGGACACGCCGCCCACGTTACGCGACATTCGACACAGTGGCAGCCTGTTCACTCTATTTCTCCACGCCCCCCTAGCCGCGTTTTGCCTTATATGCAACATCGGCAATCTGGCCGTGCATCACTGGGAGCGGTGCCAGCGTTACATCGAGCGATTCCTCATCGAGGCCTGTCAGCTCGTCACGCACTCCAGATGCGGTAAGGATCCAGGACACGGTTGTTTTTGTTGCCTGACACGGCCTCTGTTCCACTTTTCTCTCTCTCTCTCTCTCTCTCTCTCTCTCTTTTTCTAGCCTCTGCCTGTCTTTCTCTTCTAATTGGATAGGTTAGGGGAATGGGTAGATCGGTGAAACTTTCTTGGCTCGGGCCTGGCTCTACATATTCGATCGTTCGACTTGGGCGAATGAGAATGTTGCTTTTACCAGTGATTTGCCAGAATAATTTTTGAATATTTAACTTTTTAATATGTCTCTTGTTTTTACGATTATTGAAATTATTTTTGAAATATCAGTATATTCACCATATCATTTTATTTTAATTAACAATCGTTTATAATCGTAAAATAGATACTTAGATACTTTTAACGTCAAAAAATTTTCGAGTTTTGCATTGACGATTGCATTGTCTTTTTGAAATTGAACGAAGATGAATTGAAATGAGTTGAAAGTAATTTTTTTCGTTTATTCTTTTTCTTCTTTTTTATTTTAAAATACTTAAGAACGGTGTGTCTCGCGTTATAATTCTCGCTGATGATCGAAAATCGTCTCGGTTCGTTCACCGATAGCCAGAAACGCGGTGAAAGGGATTTACAATTGCGTTCGAACGATAAACAGAATTGGCCTAGATCCAACCCGTGTTTATCGCTGAACCGGCAATCTCGCCTCCTAGACGCGTGATCTAGGGTCGGCTACAAAGGGGCTCTCCATTGTTCCTCCCGCGACAGCGATATGTCGTGTGCGAGTTTTGAACGTACGAGTGGCTCCCTTTGTCCCTGTCTATCTCTTTCTCTCTGTAATAGCCGTTAAGCAAAGCTTTGCGCGGATACGTTTAATTCGCTTTCGCGGGGAAAGTTTCACCGAAATCGATCGGGCAAGCCATCCGGCTATCCAATCTATGGAGAGATAATTCGCTTCGAAACTTCGAAATAACAACTGGGTTCTCGAGTAGTAACGCAACAACAGCAGCAACAGTAATACGCAAATTTGTCGGCCACGTCTCCGGAATCATCGCCCAGAATTTTTCGATTGGATCGCGGACGTCAGTGAGCGATTTTTCCGAAATTAATGACGAATCTAACCACGAAAATGGCGGATCCTGTGATCCAATGATTAATAACGTAGCAAATATAGGTATTATCTGAGAAAACAGATCGTAGATATAATTAATTAATTTCAAGTTTCTACTATTCTTATCTGCTCGTATGAAAAACGAATTTCTCTAAACCGTATCATTATACGTATATTATTTAAAAAAAAAAAAAAGAGAGAGATTACGATGAAATGAAATATCATTTTCTTTTTCACTCTTGAATTCAAATTCTTTTTACAAATTTTTTTGATAATAAAAATTTGATTATTTTAGTGAGAGAAAGAGAGAGAGAGAGAGGGAGAGAGGGGCTCGTTTTTCACGCGGATAAGACTTGGATGGCGTTGAATTTGGAGAATCGAAAAGATTCAGCCAAGGGAGAGAGATACCTTAGCGGGTTCCCTCTCCCCCCTTCTATCTGGTACAAGGGTTATCAACGCTTACGTAATCCCAACGAGAAGTTTCTTAACCCTTCTTCTGCATCGAGGTCGAGAGATAAACTTATCGCGGACATTCCTGAAAAATCGCGAAAATTTATTTTACCGGGCGCGAGAGTTTCGTAAAAATTTACGAAAGAGGGCACGAAAAAGAAAAAAAGAAAAGAAAAGGAAGGATCAAGTCGACGAACTGACGTCCCCGATCGTGAAATCGAATCGCTCGAGCCGGGAAAAAGAGGGTCAAAATTCCGAAACGAAACGAAACGGAACGGAACGAACGTACAGAGTGTTCGAAAGGTGTCTGGTCCGTAAATCGATCTATTCTGAGAGGTTGTTTAATTTAAAATTTACACGATTTTATTTTATTCTCCCTCTTCTCTTTCTTCTTCTTCTTCTTCTTCCTCCTCCTCCTTTCTCGAAATTTTAACGAATTTAACGGAGAGAGAAATGCCAAGAACCACCAATATAGAATATCTCACTTTTCGAAAAAAAAAAATTCCTCCACCTCGAAGAGCCTCAAAGAGTAATTTAATTTCCAAAAAAAAAAAAAACCACCAACCCCAAACCACCACCATCACTAACAAAACTCTCCAAAGCAAAGCAACGAGGAAGAAAAAGAAAAAAAAAAATTCCTCCCCCTCGAAGAGCCTCAAAGAGTAATTTAATTTCCAAAAAAAAAAAAAACCACCAACCCCAAACCACCACCATCACTAACAAAACTCTCCAAAGCAAAGCAAAGAGGAAGAAAAAGAAGAAAGAAACGAAGAAAAAAAATTACGCAACCGCAACGGAGACACCTTTGCAATCGTCTGTACGTATACACACATACATATGTCATAACGTCAAAAGAACAAAAAAAAAAAAAAAAAAAAAAAAAAAAAAAAAAAAAAAAAAAGAAAAGAAAAAAAAGAGAAACCCCGAGATAAATAAAATCCTTAAGCGGAGATCTGACCGAGCGCTTTTACCGGTCCACGCAGAGACCAGCGTGTTGCAATTCTTCGGCGACGATTTCCTACGACTGTTGCTGGTGCGCTACGTGTTCTGCGACGTGGTGTTGAATCTGCACCGGTCGTTCAGGGGTCGGCAGCAGAGGCCCCGTTGCCATCCGCCGTTGCCCGACGCGGAGGTCCTCGAGCATCCCACCCTTCATCACCTGGTGCTCGACCTGGCCGCCTGCCTCGACTGCCGCGACCACTTTCCGGACAGCAACGAGCTCGCCTGACCCAGGCATCTCCCCTGCCCGGCACCCCACGAGTCCACGTCCCTGTTGCCGGCGTACACCCACGACTACGATTACGATTACTGTAACTATAATTGCAACAATAAAATCGTTACACTGAGACCTCATTAAACTGCGTCTAAACGAAGGAGAAAACAAGGATGTTTAAATATATAACGATGATAAAGGATAAGGATAAAGAGGTAAAAAAAAAAAAAGAGGGAAAAGAAAGGGAAACGAGGAAGGAATATAGAGTATAAAGTAGGAACGCTAAATGGAAGAAATCACGTGTATCGTCGCTCGATAATATCGCGATGTATTCGTTGTGGATATCGTCGACGCCGTCTCAGGGTAACCCGGCGTCGTGATTTTTCATCGTCGTAAAGTCGTCCACTGTCGTTCGATGATTCGTCGATGATACGTCCGCGAGTTCACGCCGCGTCGGTCTTCCGATTCGCTCGTTGTCGTTGGTCCGGGTGAAGGTGAAAGAAAGACAATACGACGCCGGGTTGTAACGACGCGTTTATCTCTTTCCGTGGAGAGAGAACGCGTGGAAAAAAACGTAAACACAGAGGGAAGAGGAGGAGCAGGAGGAGGAGAACGAACGAACGAACGAACAAAGGGAATAAAAATTTCTCGTGAATTCGTGGTTCTCCTTTAAGACTCGTTCTTATNATATATAAAATGAATATGATATATTCTGTCACTGCGTCGATGGTAAAAAGAAAAAAAAAGAAGAAAAAAGAAAAAAAAGAACAAAAAGATGAATTAATTATTATTACGTATGAAAGAGAGAGGCATGTTGTGATTATCGGTACATGTATAGACGAAAGAAAGAGTGAATTTGTACGCACTGGTGCTTTGTACGATTTTAAGAAGCTTTTAGCGTGTCGTCGAATGATTCGGTTTCTTTTTCTTTTTTCGGTGTATTACGGGTTTCCGTTCGATTCTCGATTCGAATCGCAGGCCACGCATCCTTTCCACCCTTCTGTCTCTTAAAAAAAAAAAGATAAATAAATAAGAATAGAAATAACGATATGTAAAAAAAAAAGAAAAAAAAAATAGAAGAAAAACAGATTGAAAAGTTAAGTCGCGGTAAATAATCGATCTTTTTTTTTTCTTTTTTTTTTGAATAAACAAATCTGCGGATCTATATTAGAACCGCAAATCAATGGCGTCTCGATGCCATCATGCACTTAAAAAAACCTGTATTCGATACCCTTCATACGGTGACACATACATATACACGTACACACATACGCGCGCGCGCGCGCGTTATATTTTGTTATACGAATGCGAATCTCGGACTTTGGATTCTATTTTCGTGATGTGTCCGCGAAGCGCGGATTTTCCAATTCTCTCTCTCTCTCTCTCTCTCTCTGTTTACCCTCTCATCTCGTAATCGTCACCCACGCAGTCAACATGTCTTTCTCATCGGTTCTCCGCTAGTTTTTCTCCCTTTCTATTCCTCTGTTTGTTTCTCCCTATTGTTATATAATTCCTTCTCACACATAGTGTTTCCAGATGAACTGAGAAAACGAGTATAATCGACGAGCAAAAATTTGAAAAAGATATTCAAAGAAACATTCTCCTCTTCCTCGATATCGAAAATAGAAAAATAATATAATATATTGATTATAAATGGAACACCAAGTATATAATTTTCCTATCACATTGTATTAATATGTAACACATGTATTATTTTAATTTTATCTTTTTTGTTATTTTCTTTTATTTTTTTTTTCCCCCTCTTTCGATCATTCTATCTCCTCTTTCCCCCATTTTACGCTTTTTATTATCCTTCTCCGTTCATTTCGATTTTCCCGTTCACAGCTCTGCACAGTGGCCCGCCGACGTCACAGAGCGCCAACCGCGAGGCTCGTTTATTTATAAGCAAAAAGTAGAGCGGGCAGAACACGAGAGAGAGAGTGGCTCTCATTGAGAGATGACGATTCCGTCGAACGACTTCGCGCGTCTACACACCGCGCATCCGATCAGTTTAGCTTTAGGGGGGTGAGAAAGAGTCGGGAAACGCTAGAACACGTTGGATAGAAGAAAGTGAAATAAAGAAAAGAAAGAAAAAAGAAAAAGATAAAAGAAGAGAAAGAGAAGAAGAGAAGGAAATTA